AAAGAGTTATATGAAGAGTAATACTAGTTGCACTATTTTAAGAAGACATTTAATAACTTGTGTGTCTATCTTTCTGAAAGTGCTTTCGGAACTAATCACTCATCAGCTTAATGTACTCATATTGGCATGTTGGCCTGACAACAGCTTGGCTACATGAGTTGCTTTTCCTGCAGTGCAGTTACAGGGTACTCTTTATTTATAGTAGTGCATGTAAGCTGTAAGGAGAACAGAAGCTCTTCAAAGTTTCAATAGATCTTTTAGATTCCACCCAATATGCACAAATAGTGACTGGGTTTTCTCACATCTCTATACAAATCCGTTATGCACACACCCTTCCAGCTTCCTCTTTCCCCTCCAAGTACGTTTCATCACATCAGCGTCACATAACTCTCTGCTACAGTCCAAAAATCATGGTTAGAAAGAATATGGTAAATATGGTAACTTGCTATCTTTTTTTTATTAACATCATGTGGTCTGCTCTTACTACCAAGTGCAAATTATTATTTCAGCAGAAATATTGACTTATATGAGGCTGGTACAATCCAAAATTTTGTCAAACCCACATATTTCTGTCTCCTCAGCGGGACGTGTGTGCCAGGAGATAAAACTAAATGTTTTACTATGATTCTTCAGTCACGCATGCTATTCTCCATCATGAACTGTTTGTCTCATTACTGAACAGTTGTTCACTTCCTGTCTGACTGCAGTTTTGTGCCAAAGCCTGTTCACAATGTATCGTTTTAGCTCAGGCAGGAACAGTAATCTGCTAAAATGAAGGCTCGACGGCTCAATATTGTATGTCAGCTTCTATTTTTCCTCATTGGCCTCGTGAACATTTGTGATGTGTTGTTTTTAGAGGATTCTCAAGAGAGCTCGAAAAGGCAGGCTGTATGAGAGCACAATTAAGTCAAAAGAAGGGGGGGGCGGAATTAAGCGACTAATTACCTCATTGGTTTGGTTTAACATCTTCCTTACCACTCTCAGGTAAGTGTTTGGGGAGGGGAAAAAGGTACGATTTAATTCCTCTTTATTGCTTTACCTAGTTGTGCTGCCAGCTGGGAGCAAACTCAAAAATTTAACTGTAATTTCTGCAAACTCTGTCAATGCTCTCATTATTCAGAAATCAAATCAAGAAATCAAATCAAAGCAACCACGGGTTTAACAAATTAGAACATGATTTCACTAGCAGCTATCATGACTCGCTTTGTGGCCCTGCTCTCCTGTTGTTGGGAAGAAGGATGTAATTTGCCCCAACATGTGAATGATAGACTACAACTAACTAAACAGAATATTAGATAATGGAATAATATTAGCAGGTAGAAAGACAATGAATTGTTAATGTTGACAAGGTGGGAACCAAAAGCCTGCTACCTGTAATGTATATACAGTACGGTAGAACTAGTTCAGTTGGGTGTTTTTATTATTCAATCTTTTTTGTGTGGAAGTCTTCTGGGATAAATAAAGACAATGATAAGCATTATTATTATTTCAGTGTCAGAGTCTGATATGAAATGTTTTAGGAACTTTATACTATTTTACATTTTCACATCCTGAAATCCCAGAATACAGTATCCATTTGCCAGAGCCTGCTATGTTGTCATGTTTAAACAAAAAATATTGTCTCATTGTAGACTTTAGCAAATGAATACAGTAAACCTCTTCAAGGCTACTTCCCCAGTAGCCTCTTTGTGATGGCCAAACCTGTGGCCACACTCTAAAGTCGGTAACTTTTGTATTTTCATTCTTCATTTGAACATAGTAATACATTTTAGTTGCCAATAACTTTATTGATTGGTTTGGATACATTTGTTCTATTTGTAAGCGCGCACATTTAGTTTACTTATGTATTCATACTACTTAATTTCTTTGCTTTCTGACTAACTTTTGTCTTTTTATTTCTTACCTGCCATCATCCCTGGGAGTTGCTGGACAAAAGATGGTAGCCAGGGTTTGAAACCATTAAATACAAAGGAAGATAATTGGACCACACCACCACTTCCTGCTGAAGGGGGAATGTGTGGTGTTTTTTTTTACTTTAAAAACAAAGTATTTGTATTTAATTAAATATTTGAGTTTAGGGTTTAATGGGGTTTTTTGATTTTCTTCTTTAGTGTTTAGTTTATTAACAAACTAGATTGTACTGCATCGTTTGTGATTTATGATTGTGTTTTGTTTGTTACCCCCTCATGTGTCACAATGGTCTGATCAGCCATTATATATATACCCTTGTATGTCATTTCATGTTTAGGTCAATTATGTATGTTTGGGCAGTCATTTGGTTTGTTAAGTTTGCAGTCTTTGCCTGAGTTCAGTTTTGTTTCTTTGACCTCTTTTATGAGCTCAACATTTATTAGTCTTGTAAATAAAATTTTTGGGGGTTAAATAAATGGAAACTATATTTTTCTAATAATTCCTGGGCTCCTCCTGTTTTTCAACTCGGTCCATCACACTCTTTCAGCAAAATAACAGGGCTTGCCAGTTTTACAAACTGTCCCTGAATGCCTGACAGGCACTTCAAGGTGTTTATTTGCTCTTTAGATCAGACACAGATGGATTACCTGTGGGAAAGTCCAATGCATTAAACAGAATTTGTTGCTTTCTCAGTGGCTGATACCATGTGACATGCTTCCTGGATTTTTTTTTCTTTATTTATCTATTTATTTTGAGTCTGTGCCTCTATGATAGCTAAGGGTGGGCCTTCTTAGTAGTAGACAGAAGGTTTAAATGACCAGTTAATTCTCATCATGTACTCGGCTTCCATTTATTCCCAAGTTAACCCTTCAACACTCTTCTGGTCAAATTTGAACAGTTTTGACATTTGACAGCAACAAAAATGTCCTAAATGTCATTCTTTTATCATGAAATTTGACACACAAACACACAAAGATGAAAATATTTAAAACATTTTCTTTGGGTGCTATTAAAGTCTGAGGCTGCACAGAGTCAAATTTGAGGGTTTCAGATCCACCAGTGTGGGTCAAATCAAATAAAATGAAATTGGTGCTTTTAGGGAATTACAAAATAGAGAAGCTGTATCTCCCTTACATGCCTGTGTGTAATTTTTTCTGGGACAGTGGTGACAGAGTTCAAGGGGGAACTTGACATTGTCACGAGAGCTGTCTGTGTTCCTACCACACCTGCCCAGGTTCCCACAGACACAGGCACCTGCTGGTTTTTGAAGGATCATGGGAGAATCTTGAAAGAGTAAAACAGCACAGGAGCGATGATGTGTGGTGCACAAAAAGAGCAGGAGTCTTACGGAGGTCAACTTACTCTACTAAGTGAGATTTAATCTAATCTAATTGAAATTAAACTAACTCGTATGAAAATGTATATCAAAAGGAGGGTTGGGTGGGGATGGGATTAGGGAGGGGGTGGGGTCATAAGATTATAGATAGTATCTGTGCTGCCATTTCAGTGAGTGTGGGAAAGTCCCGCATGCAAGGCTTTCTACCACTGGTTCCAAAGCACAGACTACTGCTTGGTTAGTGTTTGTGAACAAACATGAACAACTATAACTGTGAAAATCCGCTAGCAACCAAAGCAATTACAAATTACTACGTTTTTGATGCAGCAATCAGTTTCACCCAGCAAGAGTCAGGAAGGAGTGACGTAGTTATGAAATACACATGTTTTCCATTTGAGCGTGTTTAGTATGGCGGACAAATCTTGAGCAATGTGTGCATGTCATCAGGTTAGAAACCTCAAAAGACAATTGTGAGGGAGTTCTTGGTTTGAGTCATACTTCGAAGGTGTGAAAATGTCAGCTGTATGTCAGGTTTAAGCAACGAAAAAGCGGATAACCAGACTGTGTCATCTTCTGTTGTTCCAGGGTCCAGTTGTAACACTCACTTGAATATTCTTGAGCATTTTACATCATCTCTGCCCAGCCCTATATTCACCATGCTGCAGTGCATTTTGTATTCTTAAATGGCATTCAGGTTTTCTGCAATTAGGCTCTTCTGATCTGCCAGCCATTAATCCATCATCAGTGAGCCTAACTGCTGCATCCTGGGAGCACCCCAGTTTTGGAGGAGCTCTGACTCATCTAGCCATCAAGTTGGCCCATTTTCCTTGCTCACATCAGTTTCAAGAGCACTGTAATGATTCACCTGTCAGTGGTTGATTAGTGTAAATATTAACACTTCTTAAAACAAACAAACAAAAAACCCATTTCACATAAAAATGTGAAAAGCTGTTCAAAATGCATCACCAGCACTCTGCACAAAGACTCTCCTCTGCAAGTCTTCTTGAATTGCAGGCTTTGTCTGCTGTAACAGTGTAGGTTTGTGCTTCTCAGTTTGGTAAAGCTCTTAGGTCACAATCACAACCTTCATTTCTTCAGCCTTGAAGCAATAAAGCACGACAGACAAAAAGCAGTAATTCAAGAGTCTGGCAATTCCAATTCCTTAAAACTTCAGTACATCACAATAAATATGAAGGAAGCGGCTTTCTGTAGTGATATGTTCTGGGGTATGAGTATGAACGTTGATTATAATCAGTGCGGTAATAAGTCTTTAAACTGCTATGTATAAATAACTCTTACAAAACATAAAGAAACTGTACACAGGGCAGCTTTTCTATATGCTTTAAAACATAGGGTTAAAATTCAAAGTGAATAATACACATTGCCGGCCTCTGGCCTTTATTTTTTTGCAATCTCATTGCGTTCAGGGACTGATAATTAATACAGCATGCAATGCATTTTTAAGTGAATGTAAACATGCCTGCAATCCCTTAATACAAGGTCACATTTCTTTGTTTTTGCAAGCCAGCGTCAGATGAGAGATGGAGAGAAAACAGGAAATAAATGTGAAGCAAGACGGTTAACTAGCCCAGATAGATACAGTAGGAAGAGAAGGCATACGGTGCTTTGATGAAGCAGAAGTACAAACTGAAAACTGGAAGCCAAAGAACACAGAGGAAGAGACTAAGAAAGAGCGAGAGAGAGAGAGAGAGAGAGAGAGAGAGACTGAAAGTCTGAAAATGAATTCAGACAAATGGGTGAGGAAGTAGTGGGTGATCACATGGGTGTGGTTGGTTAACCGTTTCTCCACTAGCCTTGCACACAAGTGACACACAGAGGAGAGCGCTGTGGATGATGAAGCTGCGGATACATCTCTGGACTCGGGCACCTCGCAGGATGGATACAAAGGTAAGCATAATAGCCTGGATGAAAGACTGAATATCCCAGGGCTGAAGGGTGTTTTGGTCTAACCCAAGTGAAAAGAGATTGATGGAGGATGACAGACAAATGGATGAACAGACAGACGGAGAGTGAGTGAGAGTGCAAGATGTGACAAACAGGCAGGCGGGTCAGGCTAGGGGAAGGGAAAGACGTCTGTACAGCCCAGGGGATACAGGCCTCATCTTGACATATGCTCTGGAGTGAAATGAAGATTGGCATGACCTGCTAATCTGAGCTGTCAGAGCTCATGACGGCCACAAATGCTCACCTGTCACACTGTTCCCAGCCCGGAGGATGAGCTGCCACCGGATAGGTCAAAGATCATGATTAATTTTTTTTATTTTTTTTTTCACTGGGAGTGGATTCAAACTAAGTCCCTGGCACAGACCTCCTTTAGCCTCCCTGCCTGCTTCTGTTGCTCATCGTTGGCAGGTGTTGCTATGAAATTATACATCACAATACACTTTTATTTCCTACTTCTGTTTTTTTGTTTTGTTTTGTTTTGTTTTTGTTTAAGCCGTGGGCAAAATATTGAGGGGGAGGAAGAAATAGCCAACGTTTTCCACTGATGTGGAGGTTGCGGCTCGCCGGTACAAGGATTTCTATTATCATGAAAAGAGTCGTTTTGACATATGCTCCAATGCCATTTTTTAATTGGTGACAGCTAACAAAATATGATGAAGTTAGATCTATACAGCTACAAAGTTTAGCACAGGCATACGTGGGAGGACTGCATCTATAATATGTGGCCTCGATCACTCACATTTGACAAAAAAAAGTGTCTTATAAAGTCTGACATTCAAAGTAAGAATTTGTTTTCTGCTATGCTGAATGAGGCATGTGGGTGATGTCGCCGCGTGCTATAGGAGGAAGAGGAAGCTGCCATGTGGCACGAACCTGACTGATTACAGCTTCCTGACTGGTAACTGAGCGGTGCACAATATGTTGGAGAGTGAATACTGTATTGCCTCAATCGTCTACCCGGAGCCTTTCATTCCCAGGGCTAACAACTGTAAGATCATTACATGACTGCAGAGACACAGTACAAATCAGTAGCGTTTTTCTCAGTGCTAATGATCAGCCATTTGTCTGCATGCGGTGTGGATGTGCTTGAATATTCTATAACACATGCACCAGAGGATGTAGTCAACGTGTCACCAGTCGTTTTCAAAAGGGCCATCTGAGTTATCTGAGGCGCACTCAGTTACTTTCTACAGTAGATCGTAGAGGTCATTTCAATCCTGTAACCACTGATTGTGTGAAAACTGCACAACAGTTTGTTCAGACAGTAGTTGAGAGCTGCATTCTCTGCATCACTGTTTCACAGCATCTCATGAAAACATGTTTTGTTTTTATTTCTTTCAGATGACTTTGGTTTACTTGAGCATTTTCCTGTTTGTGATGTTAAGAGGTGAGTGCCAGAAAATCTGAAGACTTGGCTCACTGAAGTCAAGTGTGAACTTTTGGGGGGTTGAAAGAGACTGTAGATTTCATTACAACCTAATCACCTTGATTAGCTTTAGCAGGGTATCTGTGCAGTAAGCCTATGTTAGGATGCACATTGGCGTATTTGCAGGATTTTTTGAATGCAGTGTCACATGGGACCAAGAACCAGCCAGGGGAACTTTAGAAAGTTCTAAGAGAAAAAAAATGCCAAAGAAAATATCTAAAAAACATATAAATAAATTAAAAAAAATCAGTCCATTATAATGACTTTTATTGTCTGCTAAACTCTTGCACCTACAATCATGACATGGTTGCCAGTGTAACAATATGGTTCCGTCATTGAACCACAAAACTGTGATGGGATGGAGCTAAAAATACTGTGTGGCTTCCAACCTTTAGTGCAGCTTATTCTGTTCAGTGGTGGTAATAAAGAACTATGTCTGCTTCATTACTTTTTAGGGTTCCCCTTAAAGTAAAGGAGTAAGCAGTGGAGCAAAGCATGTGAAGCTTATGGGGGGTGTTGCATTAACAAAACTAAACTATTTTTCTTGTCTTATTTTTTTTTTTATCTGTTTAAAGATTAGGAAAAAAATAGCCTGCAACTTGGGGATTAGCTTGTTAACAGTTACATCTAAGCAACACGTCCCATTCATGAAGGTGACAAATTTTAAAAGGATTGGTAAAATTTTAAAAAGTAGAGTGAGCTGTTAATCATTTCTATCTCAGTATATTTTCCCTCGTATGGCTTTATTTGTGTAGTGCTGGCAGCACTGGCCCAAGAAAGTAGAGGTTTTGTGGAGCTTCGGCACTATTTGGAAGGTGCTGAGTGAGTAAACAGACAACAGCCTCTCTGTCCTGTGGTCTTGCACAACAATCCAGCTCTGTTGCACTCAGAGGTTGCCTCACAGGCCCACTCACAAGACTATTACTGTGACATACTCAGTGCATCTGCAGGCCTCGCTACTGTGCCTGGCCAGACACATTCTGAAGTCTGGCCACATTGAGAAAATCACGGGCATTAACAACGCTGTGCTTTGTTCTTGATGTAAAGTGGACAGTATAGGAACCTTCAATGGAAAGTTTGTTTCTACTTTTCTTTAGTTTTTCACATGTGATCTTTTTTCCCCCCACAGTGTCAAGGGCCCAAACACCTGCACCTGCAACTGCACCCACACCAACAGATGCAAAGCAGGCTGAATCGACATTTACAGTAAACACTGGTATCTATCTATCTATCTATCTATCTATCTATCTATCTATCTATCTATCTATCTATCTATCTATCTATCTATCTATCTATCTATCTATCTATCTAT